TCTGAGTTCATATAAGTGAGTTATGCCCTTTGGAAGTTGGGCAGTTGGAAGGGAAATCCGCCGGAAACTGTAAGGGTATTTTGGTCTTTTCCCTAACTAATTCCTTTGGTTATATTTTAGTGTGTTAGACTGATTTTTTATCAGTTCTTCCCTATTTTAAAGAGTGAGAGTAAGGGTTTGAGAGTGAAGAGGAGAAGAAGAGGAGAAAGAGAAGATCAAACAAGGTTTCGTCAAAGATCGTCGTGGATATCGTCGGGGTGATCCCTACTAGGTATGTGAGTCCATAGTGTTGGGTTGGTCCTTTCCCCCACACCCCACACTCGTTTTATTATTGAGAAAAGATTGGATGTGTTGTTGAAGTTGTTCGTTGTGTTGTTGATGTTGTTGTTTGTGTTATTGAAGTCCCTTGTTGTTTTGGGCATGTTTCCGGTTGTGTTTTGAGTTGAAATCTATTGTATGTTGAGGGGTTTATGACCCTAAGTGTTTGGGGCTGGAACCATTGAAGTTTAGAAGGTTTAGAGTTGGAGAAAAGAGGGAGAAAAGTCGGAATTTAGGGGAAAAGGGATGGGGCGTCGAGCCTGCCAGCGCGCCCCAAAAAGGGTTCTGAACTTTCCCCCTTGGGGCGGCGCGCCTAGCAGAGCGCCAGCAGGCCCCCTCTGAACTTTGAGGGCTGGCGCTCCGCGCCTTGTAGAGCGCCAAGGACGCCAAGATTTCCCATTCTTTCCCCACTTTTTCATACATGTTCCTTGTTAATGTACCTATGTTTTATAGTTGTTTTCCACACTCCAAGGTACGTCTAAACGTCAAGAACTTATCCATAACTTGTGATCAAACACCTTGAATCCATAAATCCAATTCAAGGAGAGTTAGTTTCCAAGTCAAGTGAAGTTAAGAGTCAAGCTTAGAAGTTAAGAAGCAAGTCAAGCAAGTCTTTAAAGTTGTTCAAGAGTCTTTATTGAACGTTTTAACTTCAATTTTAAGGCTCGAGTTTCAAGTTAAGTAAAGAGTTACAAGTTAAGCCAATAGTTTAAAGTTGAGTTCATTTCTCAAAAGTTATTAGAGAACTATATATTCCCAAAGAAGTTTTAAAGGAATGTTTTCACATTTTAACCAGATTGGAAACTAAGATTTCCAAAGAGCCTTCTAGCTAGTTTTCATAAAGAAAGAGAGGAAACTAAGATTTCCAAGATAGCCTTTGAGCTATGTTTTTGAGTAATTATCTCATATCAGCAGGAAGAAACATGTTTTAAAAACATAAAAGCCAGTACACTTTTGGGAGTAGTATCGAGCACCGAGTTAGGGGAGCGTTCAAGGAACCCACAGCCCACATAGAACCATGTTAGCCACCATGGGTAGAAAAAGATCATACTTTTTAGATGAATCCTTTTCCAGATAGACTAGTGGATCTATTAGGCAGTTCAGGTCCTATACCTTTGGCCGGGTACATGATGCTCTGGCAGCGTGAGGTCGATCGCTGTACCATCCCTATAGCTCTATGTGATGGTTGTCGGCTAGAGAAACTCCCACAACAATTATTGTATTTTCATACACAGAGATTATTGTATTTTTATATACACCAGTTCATTTGTATTTCTATATACATCGCAGGCTTATTGTATCTTTGTATACACACAGAGTTTATAGCATGTTTTAAACAGCTTTTCTTTATATTGCACTTGTTTTAAATTGCATTATATTGAAAGGAGTCAGTCAGGTTGAGTTGAGTTGAGCCAGGTAAGCTATTCAGTTTCTTCCAGTTTTCCTTCTAGCCTTTGTTGCTTAGTTTTCCAGCTCGCATACTCGTACATTCCATGTACTGATGCCCGTTGGCCTGCATCTTATTATGATGCAGACACAGGTACCCAGGATCAGCATCCAGCACGCCGTTGATCCAGCTGAGCACTCCAGAGTTAGTGTGAGCCTCCTTGATTTCCAGAGGACTCGGTTATTTTGTGTTCTTAGTTTTGTTTTGTAAGGATGTTGTGGGGTCTGTCCCAACATCCATCTCAGTATTTTAGAGGCTTCATAGATAGTCAGTCAGTTAGTATTGAGTCTCTCCTCTATGTATATATATATATATATATATGTAAATATTCTATTTTGAGACTCTAGTTGCCCTTTTGGGCCAGATTTTTATCAGTTAAGTTGTTTTATGTCTTTGCATGGCATTGAGTTAATTTATTGAGTTAGGTTTCCGCTGAGTTAAGAAAGTCAGGCCAAGGGTTTGCTTGGGGCCAGCAATGGTCTCCGGGTGCTGGTCCCGCCTAGGGTATAGGCTCGGGGCATGATAGATAGTTTGACTCGGCACAGAGTTTAAGAAAGAAAGGAAGACTTTTAAAACTTGTGGTCCAAAATGAATGATAGAAATTTGTGTGGCTGTAAATCATTTCATTAAGGATAAAATAGACATTTTACAGCCAAATTGACCGGGGAGTTTGTTCCCAGGCAACTACCTATGCAACTGGCAAAGAAAAATCATATGACAGTGTCAATAGATTTAATAAGATCCAATCAACCCAAGAAAAAGTGATGAACTATCAAGTGTTGTTGGACAGATTTGAAGAAGAAGACACAAGGAAAATACTTTAGGTTACTGTAGACGGGCAACCTATTTTTTTTAATTCATACATTTGTAAAAGGAAGGTTGAGGTTGATAACACAACTTTCTTCTTGGCTTTTATATTTTTGCATTATTTAAGTATCATCATAGAGTATGTTACTAACTCAATGATGGTAGTAGAATACCTAGTGCTCTCTAGTTCTTATTTTCTTCATGCTTGTTAATTAGTAGAGGTTCATAATCTTATTAGGTATGCAAAGGTATGGCCTAGCCCCCTTGCTTGTACTTATCCCAATTGAGGGTTTTTATATTAATAAAACACCACTAGACACTCTGTCTAGTGGTATATTTAAATTTTTTTTAAAAAAGACATTTTACAATCAAATTGTTATTTAATATAGAAATGCGTCATTCTTTTTGGGACTAACTAAAAAGGAAAGTAAGCCACATAAATTGGAACAGAGATAGTACTTATTTTACCTTTTTCTAAAACGGGACAACCTCGACACATGACTTTAACAAGTGAAACTCCAACATAAGGTATTGCAGGTAGAGTTTCAAGTTTCAAATACTAAGTTCAAACTCTAGAAGAAGTACTTGGAGTTTGGTATCTTTATTAATTCAAACTATATGAAAAATTCATGCAGTTTTAACTCGAATAATTTATCATGTTTGTAATATTTGGAGTGAAATAATGTTAAATAATTAGTTTTCTTAGTTACCAAAATTATGTCAAAATTTTTATTTCACTCGTGATACCTCATGATAAATATATAGGTTTTGAAATGTGGTACCATGAGTGAAATATTATTAAAGGATTATTTCACTCATTGTACCTCTTTGAACTCGATTACACTTTCCTAGAATTTCAACTTATACAAGTGAAACTCCAAGATTGTGTAATGGAATTTGAATTTACCGTTGAACTTCAGGACAATTTTCAAATTCCAACACTATGTTAGAGTGTGCCGATGATCCTACCAGTACACTTTGAATTTTGTGTACGAATACTACATTTATTTTTTTCTTATTGAGTACATGACATATTTCGGTGGCTGCTATGCTACCTCAATTGTGACTAGCGTTTCCTGAATCCAAGGGTCGGATGCTTCTTTCGAGCTGCTATGGGTTTCTCTTTTCCCTCTAGTTCATTTTTCGGACTTAGAATCTTTTTATTTCATGGTTGTATCCTCATATTCTAGACTACGTAAATGTTTGCTACACGACTTTCAGATTCTAGGGGTTATTTAGCAGATGTTTAATGATAATGGTTTTCAGTTATAAACTTGTGTTTAATGGTTGGAAATTGTACTTCTGGTTGCTTAGTTGATTGCACGTTAATAGATATATAGTTAGTTCTCCCACGGGGAGTTAGTGTGTGGGGTCCTCTCACAGCGGGTTGGGTCGTGACCCTAAATTGCATCACTTGCATTCATTCACTCTAATGGCTATATTTTTGTTTAAATCCCACAAACATAAATTTTCTGTCCACTTTTAATTGTCATGTTGCACTTTTCGAAAATAATTTGACTAATTTTTAAATTTAAATTAGATTACATTAATTCGATATTTTAAACAAAAATTAAAATATTGAAAAACTGTACAAAAAGTACTATAAATTCCAATTTATTGTATATCAATATGATGAAAGAATGCATTGTAAAATGTTAGTCAAAGTTATTATCGTTTGATTCTAAAAAAGAAAACTATGACAATTAAAAGTGGACGGAGGTAGTAAGTATTAAATATTCTTATGTTGGCTAACACTTAATAGCAATTGGGTCAAAGGTAAGGGTTAGTAAGGCACACACTCGTAGTTGCATGGTGAAATTTACTTATTAACGGGACCAACCACTAAATAGGTGATATCTAATTTACCGATCTTGCATGCTAGAAACTAGATAAGATGGTTACTACTATAAGGTTTACTGTGTTAAGGACTAATGGGGAACACAAATACCCTAGTTTTTTCTTCTATTTATTTTACAAACATTAACCCTGGTTACATTAATAATGTATACTTAAAATCATTCAAATATTTTTTTATTTCACAACCCCCCCCCCCCCCCCCCACACACACATACACCCCTTAAAGATATAACTTGACAAGGTGGCCAGGAGGGTAGCTTGTAGTTAGAGGATTGGTTGTCCTCTACTACAAACACCCAAGTGAAATCGTTCTTTACTCGCTACAAGTATTTCTCCCTAGCTCTCTAGTTCTATTAGCTATCATTACGTTATATAACTCTAAATATGTTATATAATTTCCCTATCACCTCACTCTATAAGTCTATATATATAAAAGTAGAAAGAAGCCTTAGCCGGTAGTTAACATTCCAAATCCGTTAGATAACTTCCCAACCGACTTGTATAAATTCTCTACTAAGTAGAAAGAAAGACGTTTTTCAAGAGAAGAGATAAAGAAACGAAGAAAGGAAAAATGCAGCAATACGAAAATGGCAATGCAGGGGGCATTAATGGCGGAATTCTTGCGGGAGTTGATAATCTGCAGGATCCGAATGTGAATGCAGGCGACTTTGTGTTGAATAACCAGTTTCTGGGTAATGGTCTTGCTGAAGAACAGAATAATCTTGCAAATGTTAATGCACCTGCAATTCTTGATAATCAACCGAATAATGTATATGCAAATGGGAATGAAGGCATTAATGGAGGAATTCTTGGGGGAGTTGATAATCTACAGGATCCGAATGTGAATGCAGGCGACTTTGTGTTGAATAACCAGTTTCTGGGTAATGGTCTTGCTGGAGAACAGAATGATATTGCAAATCATGCTAATGCACCCGGAATTCTTGATAATCGACAAAATAATGGGAATAATGCAGGCTTTAATGGAGCAGTTCATGTGTTGAATAACCAGTTTCTGGGTAATGGTCTTGCTGGAGCTAATAATGATATTGCAAATCATGTTAATGCACCTGGAATTCATGATAATCAACCGAATGCAAATGGGATTAATGCAGCAGTTGTGTTGAATAACCATGTTCTTGGTGGAGCTGATAACGAATTGAATGGTAATGAAGGTGTTATTGTAGGAAATAACTTGGGATTTCCAAATGTGGATCAGGTGGATCGTATTCTGGAGGTCACTAACAACATCATTCAAAATGAAGATGTCATTAATATCTTGGATCAAGAAAAAATTGCTCTGTTCAACGAGCTATTCGAGGCATCAATCGCTCCTGAAGAAGCAGCTATCGGAATGGTTGAGGCGGGCAATATAAATGAAGATGTAAATTTGTGCATTAGTTATGCAATCACAAAATTTGTTACGCCATGCTTATATGGTTCTGGGCATTGGTCTAATGGAGGTGAGGAATAGCCTAAATGAACATCAAATTAATGCCTATATAGATATTCTCCATCAGAACAACATTTTCCCAGTCAATGCTAATGAACAAGCGGCCAGAGGAAATAATAGATAGTCATAGCTTTGTGCCAGAAAATTCATCATAGTTACATATAATGCGATGTTTTCCTATTCATGAATTTGTGGTGTGTATGTTCCAAACTTAAGTCATTCATTCATTGTTGTTTCTTTCCTTTCATACTCTTTTCACTCTCTGTAAGCGGAAATGCTGAGTTACAAGCTCTAATGGACTTCATGGACTGTTTCTGGTAATCCATGTGATGGTTCTTTTGAAGGTATTGCTTGTAATAAAAAGGGTCAAGTTGCTAACATTTCTCTTCAAGGGAAGTTGTCACCTGCCATTGAATTGCTGGGCAGAGAAATTTCTAATTTGGTTGAGCTATCTGATTTGTATTTGAATGTTAATGAAGAACTTGGAAACATGTCAAACTTGTAACTATGATATAACCATTTTACTGGTAGCATATATACCCACTCAACTAGGGACTGTAACAAAGCTCAATGTCCAATCAGTTAACTTGGGAGTGTTGATGAGGGTGGACTTGTATATTCTTTTCGGTTCATTTCCTTCAAATTAAAACTTGCGGATGCTCCCCTACTTGATATCTGAAACAGCAAGATTTCTGGCAATGTGCCTCCCTCTTGCTTTGAAGAGATCGATTAGTTGGAGGTTTCCAGTATGAGAACAATCCAGGACTATGTTTCCCATCCTTGCGAGTTTGTACATCTTTGGATCACTCGAACCCTATGGAGTTGGCTCAAGTGGCTTATCTACTAGAGATCGGTATTCCAGAAACAGCTTAGAATCTCAATCTAAATTGCAGCGGAAATGCCTGCAAAACCTCACAGGCATCTGTCGTTGTAGCTAGGGGTTATTGTGGTTACTATGCTATAGGAATTCTTTCCTTCACGGCACTATAGAAGACGAAAGCAGAAACTTGGAGGTGGACTGGAAATGTGTGATATCGACCAGGCCAAGGAAGTTAATAGGAAGAATGGTTCTCCCCTAGTCAGTCTTGAGTACTCGATTGGTTGGGATCCGTTGGCTGTGGGCCGGCGTTATGGTGGAGTTTCCCAAGAGATTCAATTTGGAAGAGGTGGAGTCAGCTACACAGTACGTTGCTGACAAGAATCTATTGGCTAAGAGCAACTTTTCAACTACATATAGAGGGACTCTGTAAGGGTCCTGACCCGGTTACTCGACATAGTCACAGTGGCGGCAAAGGGTTAGCATGAATGACTTTGTCAAGGGCCTAGGTGCGGGTTGAATCAATCATGTATAATGTGAGCAAAGTGTTAGCATGGCTTAGTGGTGCCAAATAATGTTGGTGAGACAGTGTCATGACATGACATGGGCAACAGGCCATGGCATGGCATGGGTGCTGACCGGCATCGGTTGTGGGCAGGTTTGGCATGTGGAAAACACATGGTCTGGTCAAGTGCGGGAAAATCGAGCTGAGCTAAATTAAAGCATAGACAAATATGAATGAAACGCAACAAGAAAACAATGAATGGCACGAGTGGATTAAAAGTTAGCATGGCCAAGGCAAAACGCAGGCAAGGCAGCGGCGGGCAGCGGCAGGGTGTTGGCAGTGCGCAGGCATGGAAAATGGGCGGATGGATTCGGGTGGACTTTGCTCAACCAATGACTATACAATGTTTAGACATTGCATTGGAGCCAAAAATATGGAGGGAAATGGCAGCAAAGGGGCGAAATCCAGTCAGCCAAAGTCACATGCGGCGGTTACCTTTTTGTAACCGCTTGTGTCCAGATTCATTGTAACTATTGTATACTTTTTGAATTCGAAATTTGAATGCTCTTATCAGTTGGGGATGTCAACTGAAGTTTAATTTAGTGGGCTGAAGTCATGACAAATGTAAGATATGCGTCACAATGCTATGCAATGTAAAACACAAGGCAACCACATGGTCTATAAATGTGCAGCCTTAGTGTGGAATGATTGGAGGGTGAAAGAGGGAGGATTAAGTCTGGAATTTCACCAAGACACTTAGAAAAAAACGTGAGGGTTTTAAATAGTGTCAAAGGCAGCAATCGACTTGTGATTGTGCCTAAGTCGAAGTCGAAGTCGGAACAGAATTGTTGTTCTAACGAGTGAGTCCTTTGTATTTACTTTGATTACTAATATAAAGGTTGTGTTTGCCCGTATTTTATGTGTGTATTTAAGTTATTGGCATCGAAAATTATTCTAAGGCAAAACAGAAAACGCTATTAAACGTTAGGCAGAATAGGCTGTGAATAGGCTGAGTTAAGTGTGGGACTTGACTGCCGCACTATGGGCTAACCTCTTGCACTGTATTTAGGTGAAGTATTCTACCCGTGTGACAGACTCTAAGAGATGGATCAATTGTTGTTGTAACAAGAATTGCCAAAATTAGCAGTTCAATGCGTGCTGCTGCTGAATCGTCCAAATTCCATGACTTGATTAGCGAAAATCGCTTTGTTATGTACACATGAATGTCCAGAGGAGTGAAGAGACCAACCATGGAAACAATCGTACGAGAAATTGGTAATTTAGCTAATGATTTTCTTCCATCAACTATTGCCTTTTCAAGGAGTATTGGAGCCAGAGGCGAACTAAGGATTCTTACAATTCTTCTTCTTATATTATAATGAAGATTGATAATATATGTGGCGTGTGTTGAATTGATATGTGCTAATTAACTAAATTTTAAATTAATAGATCAATCTAAAATCTAGTATTAGTATTAAAAATATTTATAATACTTTTAGCTAAATCAAAATATAATTTGCAAAGCATGTTGCAACCTCTTTAGTACACTTCTCTCTAGTTCAATCTTGCAAAATAAAACGTTTTTTATTTAATCAAATAAAATTTCATAAAATATGAATATATAAAAAAATGACGTTCACTTATCAATTAAAACAAAAGATACTATAATCAAATTATTTTTAAATAATTATTTATCAATATAATTTTGATGTTAAGAACTTCTTATCGATATAAACTTGAACATCTATATATAATCAAAATCTGTGATAACATAGAATCTTAGATAAATTCAACAAAAAATTGAGTTCATAATTTTTTTTAATCAAATTAAATTATATCTGCTAATTTCTATATTATTAAATTTGTGATCATTACTAACTTATATTGTGCTAAATTATAAATAATTTTAAATACATACCTTTGATGTTGATTTCATTTTCCAGAATCTAATCTCCAATTTTTATATGAAGATTAGCACTTAAATTTAATAAAACACGTAAAACAATGATTATATAGAAGAGAAGAAAATTAAAGAGAGATAAAAAAAAAGTTAGAAAGGAAGTTTTGCAATTTGTGTTTTTTTTTTAATCAGAGTGGTATATATAAAGCTTATTGTAAAAAAAAAAAAAATTGTAAATGTTTTCCTTTTACCGTGAAACTCTTGTTCCTTTAACTATTTATTTTTTTACCGTGAATCTTCCTTCCGTCTTCTTCTATTTTTTTCTGTTAATTTCAATCCTTTTTTTAAATGTAAAAAATATTTATAATTTTTATTGAATTACTTTTTGGATAAGTTTCAATTTATATCTTTAACTGTTTTTTTTTACCGTGACAGTTGCACTTTAAACTCCTATAGAATCTACTTCCGTCTTCTTCTTTTTTCCGTTAATTTCAATCCTTTTTTTAAATGTAAAAAATATTTATAATTTTTATTGAATTACTTTTTGGATAAGTTTCAATATATATATATATATATATATAGAGAGAGAGAGAGAGAGAGAGAAATTTTTTATTAAATAATATAACTACCCATTTTTGTTTTTGGCAATTTTATTTGACAATTTTTTACATAATAATTTATCAAATTAAAATTATATTTTTTTGGAGAGAATTTTTAAAAAAGAATATTCAAACTGAAAATTTTAGAATTATTCTGATGATGAATGTTGCAATATTTTGCAAAATACGAATTTCCAATATTTTAAATTTATTCTTTTTAAAAAATTATAATTTAAAAATATTTATGTTGATGCTATTTTCTTATTACAAAATATTGATTTGAAATACTAAATTCATTTTCTATAAACTCAAATTTTGAATTGATATTTTTCGTGATGTGTTACACTTTTGTCTTTCCCATTAACATGTTAAGAAGATCAATATGAGTATCGAGCCATTTCTTCACCATTATTGAGATTTGAGAACAAAGAGAAAAGAAGAGTGAAAAATTGTAGGCAATAGATTTAAAGATAAAAACTTGAGAAGTTATAAATACATTAAATTTACTCCGAAATAGGGGTAAGGGTAATTTGAATTTTTTAAATTAGTTTATAAAAAAAAATTCTCGCAGTTTTTAATTTAAGATAGAATTGGGAAGTTAGTAGATAGTTAGTTGATTTTTTTTTCATTAATAATTGAGAATTTTAATTACTATAAAATTAATTTGAATTTTTTTAATTAGTTTATAATAAAAAAATTCTAGCAGTTTTTAATTTAAGATAGAATTGAGAAGTTAGTAGGTAGTTAGTTGATTATTTTTTTTCCATTATTTTACATAGACTTTTAATTAATTTTCAATCCTTTTTTTAAATGCAAAAAATATTTCTAGTTTTTATTGAATTAGTTTTTGGATAAATTTCAATTTATAAATTAAAATAATTTAAATTATGAAAATTTTAAAATAGAAGAAGAAAATAATTAATCAGTTACCTATATTTTAGGAATCCACTACTTCCTTTACGTAACTAAAAATTTAAAAGATAATACTTAACATTTACAAAAATTTAAAAATGATCCCACTATTTTTTTTAAAAAATTAGGCAGTTAGCTTTGAATTAGGAACAAACACATTCAAATTATTATTATTTTTTTAAAAAAAAGGGAGATCAAAACATCAGTTTTTTTACGTAAACAAATTTTAAAAAATGTTTTTTATTTATGTTTTTTAAATTGTTATTTATTATTTAATATATCTACAAA